TATACACAACAATAACAATTTAATTACCTGGTGTACTTCTCTTTTCTACTGTACTATCTTTCTTGCCCTCTCCTTGTGTACGAGTAGCTAATAAAAACAATAATAATTATAATAATAATAACAACCATGATTCATTACCAGGTGCATTTCTCTTTTGTAGAGTACAATCTTTCTGAATCTCTCTTTGTGTACAAATAACTAATAATGATACTAATAATAACTACAATAAAAACAATTTAATTACCAGGTGCACTTCTCTTTTATACTGTACTATCTTTCTGACACTCTTCTTGTGTACAAGTAACTAATAATGATAATAATAACAATAATAATAATAATAATAACAACAAAAACAATTTAATTACCTGGTCCACTTCTCTTTTGTTCTGTACTGTCTTTCTGACACTCTCCTTGTGTATGAGTAACTGATATTGATAATAATAATAAGAATAGCAAAAACAACAATTTAATTACCTGGTGCACTTCTCATATGTACAGTATTACCGTATCTTTCTGACACTCACTTTGAGTTCGAGTAACAAATAATAATAATAATAATAATAATAATAATGATGATGATGATAATGATAACAACAATTTAATTACCTGGTGCACTCCTCTTTTGTACTGTACTATCTTTCTGACCCTCTCTTTGTTAAAGAGTAACCAATAACAATAATGATAATAATAATAATAATAATAACAACAACAATAATTTAGTTACCTCATGCACTTCACTTTCGTACTATACAATCTGTCTGACTCTCACTTTGTGTACAATTAACTAGTAATGATAATAATAATAATAACAATATTAATAATAATAAAAGCAACAATAACAGCAACTTAATTACTTGGTGCACTCCTCTTTTGTACTGTACTATTATTTTGACCCTCTCTTTCTTAACAAGTAACTAATAACAATAATAAAAAATAAAATAATAATAATAATAATATAAACAATAATTTATTTACCTGGTACACTTCTCATTCGTACTGAACAATCTTTCTGATTCTCAAATTGAGTCATAAATAACTAATAATGATAATAATAATTATTATTATAATAATAACAACAACAACAACAATTTAATTACCTGGTGCACTTCTCTTTTGTACTGTACTACTGTATCTTTCTGACACTCACTTTGTGTACGAGTAACTAATAATAATAATAATAATAATAATAATAATAATAACAAAAACTTAATTACCTGGTCCACTCCTCTTTTGTCTGTACTATCTTTCTGACCCTCTCTTTGTTAACAAGTAACTAACAACAATAACAAAAATAATAATAATAACAACAACAATAATTTAGTTACATGGTTCACTTCTCTTTCATGCTGTACAATCTTTCTGACTCTTACTTTGTGTACGAATAACTAATAATGATAATAATAATAATAATAATAATAATAATAACAAAAACAACAATTAAATTACCTAGTGTACTTCTCTTTTCTACAGTACTATCTTTCTGACCCTCTCCTTGTGTATGAATAACTAATAATGATAATAATTATGATAACAACAACAACAACAATTTAATTACCACATGCACTTTCCTTTGTACTGTACTGTCTTTCTGACACTCTCCTTGTGTATGAGCAACTGATATTGATAAAAATAATAATAATAATCATTATAACAATAATAATAATAATAATAATAATAGCAACCACAAAAATTTAGTTACCTGGTGCACTTCCCTTTTGTACAGTACTAC